GAAACTTCCAGCGTGTTTGGTATTGAGTTAAAACTGGAACTTAAAATCCAACCACCTCTCAAATCACATTCCCTCTAATGGGACAGGTTGAGATGGGGTGGAAATTGGCAAGCAATGGTGTGAAGAGATGACTTTTTGAGGAAGAGATGGACCACTAAACATTTGAGGACCTTGGGCACCATCTCCTTAGGGTATGTCTACACTACGAAATTAGATCGAATTTATAGAAGTTGGTTTTGTAGAAAGCGTATTTATACAGTCGATTGTGTGTCCCCACACAAATGCTCTAAGTGCATGTAGTCAGCGGAGTGTGTCCACAGTACCAAGGCAACCATCGACTTCCGGAGCGGTGCACTGTGGGTAGCTATCCCACACTTCCCGCAGTCTCCGCCGACCATTTGAATTCTGGGTAGAAATCCCAATGCCTGATGGGGCTAAAACACTGTTGCAGGTGGTTCTGGGTACATATCGTCAGGCCCCCCTTCCCTCCCTCCTTCCACGAAAGCAAGGGCAGACAATCATTTTGCGCCTTTTTTCTTGAGAGTTACCTGTGCAGACACCATACTACAGCAAGCATGGAGCCCGCTCAGCTAACCGTCACCGTATGTGTCATAAATATAAAGGGAAGGGTAAACCCCTTTGAAATCCCTCCTGGCCAGGGGAAAGCTCCTCTCACCTGTAAAGGGTTAAGAAGCTAAAGGTAACCTCGCTGGCACCTGACCAAAATGACCAATGAGGAGACAAGATACTTTCAAAAGCTGGGAGGAGGGAGAGGAACAAAGGGTCTGTGTGCTGCTCTTGCCAGGGACAGAACAGGAATGGAGTCTTAGAACTTTTAGTAAGTAATCTAGCTAGGTATGTGTTTATGATTTCTTTAAATGGCTGAGAAAAGAATTGTGCTGAATAGAATAACTATTTCTGTCTGTATATCTTTTTTGTAACTTAAGGTTTTGCCTAGAGGGGTTCTCTATGTTTTTGAATCTAATTACCCTGTAAGATATCTACCATCCTGATTTTACAGGGGGGATTTCTTTATTTTTATTTACTGCTATTTTTTATTAAAAGTCTTCTTTTAAAAAACTGAATGCTTTTTCGTTGTTCTCAGATCCAAGGGTTTGGGTCTGTGGTCACCTATGCAAATTGGTGAGGCTTTTTATCCAACATTTCCCAGGAGAGGGGGGGGTGCAAGTGTTGGGAGGATTGTTCATTGTTCTTAAGATCCAAGGGTCTGGGTCTGTAGTCACCTAGGCAAATTGGTGAGGCTTTTTACCAAACCTTGTCCAGGAAGTGGGGTGCAAGGTTTTGGGGAAGTATTTTGGGGGGAAAGACGCGTCCAAACAGCTCTTCCCCAGTAACCAGTATTCGTTTGGTGGTGGTAGCGGCCATTCCAAGGATAACGGGTGTAATATTTTGTACCTTGGGGAAGTTTTGACCTAAGCTGGTAAAGATAAGCTTAGGGGGTTTTTTCATGCAGGTCCCCACATCTGTACCCTAGAGTTCAGAGTGGGGGAGGAACCTTGACAGTATGTCTCCTGGGTGCTGGCAGACGCGGTACTGCATTGCTACACAGCAGCAGTTTATTGCCTTTTGGTAGCAGACAGAGCAGTATAACTGGTAGCTGTCATCGACATAGTCCTGGGTGCTCTTTTAACCGACCTCGATGAGGTCAGGGGCACCTCGGCAAACATGGGAGTGACTCAGCCAGGTCATTTCCCTTTTAAGTTTCGTCTCATGGTGATTCAGTCCTACCAGCAGTGCACTGTCTTTTAAATTGCAGCCAGCAGAAGATGATGGCCAGCAGTCATACTGCACCGTCTTCTGCTGAGCACCCAGGAGATGACGATGGCTAGCGGTCGTACTGCAGTCTGCTGCCAGCAAGATGTATAAAGATAGATGAAGTGGCTCAAAACAAGAAATAGACCAGATTTGTTTTGTATTCATTTTCTCCTCCCTCCCTCTGTGAAATCAATGGCCTGCTAAACCCAGTTTTGAGTTCTATCCTTGAGGTTTTGAGTTCTATCCTTGAAGGGGCCATTCTGTTTCTCGCAAAGCCACCCCCTTTGTTGATTTTAATTCCCTGTAAGCCAACCCTGTAAGCCATGTCGTCAGTTGCCCCTCCCTCCATCAGAGCAACGGCAGACAATCGTTCTGTGCCTTTTTTCTGTGCAGACGCCATACCACGGAGCCCGCTCAGATCACTTTGGCAATTAGGAGCACATTAAACACCACATGCATTATCCAGCAGTATATGCAGCACCAGAACCTGGCAAAGCGATACCGGGCGAGTAGACGGCGTCAGCGCGGTGGCGAGAGTGATGAGGACATGGACACAGACTTCTCTCAAAGCACGGGCCCTGGCAATGTGGGCATCATGGTGCTAATGGGGCAGGTTCATGAGGTGGAACGCAGATTCTGGGCTCGGGAAACAAGCACAGACTGGTGGGACCGCATAGTGTTGCAGGTCTGGGACGATTCCCAGTGGCTGCGAAACTTTCGCATGCGTAAGGGCACTTTCATGGAACTTTGTGACTTGCTTTCCCCTGGCCTGAGGCGCAAGAATACCAAGATGAGAGCAGCCCTCACATTTGAGAAGCGAGTGGCGATAGCCCTGTGGAAGCTTGCAACACCAAACAGCTACTGGTCAGTTCGGTCCATGCTGGAGCTCCTTTGCGATTCTGGGACTCCATCATGATTACCTCTGCTGAGGAGCTCTGCATGGTCACCTCTGCTGAGGAGTTCTGCATGGTCACCTGCAGCCTGTCACGCTGGTCAAACAGGAAATTGAAATTCAAAAGTTCGCGGGCCTTTTCCTATCTATCTGGCCAGTGCATCTGAGTTGAGAGTGCTGTCCAGAGCGGTCACAATGGAGCACTCTGGGATAGCTCATGGAGGCCAATACCATCTAATTGTGTCCACAGTACCCCAAATTTGACTCGGCAAGGCCGATTTCAGCGCTAATCCCCTTGTCGGGGGTGGAGTAAGGAAACTGATTTTAAGAACCCTTTAAGTAAAAAAAAAAGGGCTTTGTCGTGTGGATGGGTGCAGGGTTAAATCGATTTAACGCTGCTAAATTTGACCTCAACTCCTAGTGTAGACCAAGGCTTAGTAAGGCATTTTGAAGACCAGTTTATTGTTCATATCACAGCTACACACACGAGCTTTAAGCAGCTCGGACAAAGTAAGGTGATATTTGCAGGTGGTAGAGTGACAGGGTAGTCTGTTCCTTAAGGTCAGTATTGCGTACTGCACAGTCCTCCCTGTCACACAGCATGGCCCTTTAAGAGGTGAGGAAATATGGAGACAGAGAAAAGGGGTCCTGGAAAGAAGCAACATTTAGAAGGAATCCTTTTGCTATGTCTTTAAGGGTCTAGGACCTGGAGCCTTACAGAGAAGATGGGGCAAGGCTCTCCTCTCCCCCAGGCAATAAAGAATGAGCTGGAAGAAGGGATCAACATAAATTCTGCCTCCTTCCTTCGTAGCAGGGCAGATGCCTGTAGAAAGGCTCCTGCAGGGCCATGAATTAACAAGAGGAGGACAGCACAGGGGAAGTTCTGCCTGCTGAACTCTCCCAGGCTGAGGGTGGAAGGATTGATCAGTAAATGGGCCAGCAGGAGGAGAAGCTGCCTGAGGCTCTACAGCTGGCCTAAAGCACACCAGCTCCAAGGGGGAGAGCTAGGAGGCTCCTGTCTTAAGGAGAGGAATTGCCCAAAGTACAGACCTCTGGAACAGGAGAGGAAACTAACCAGGACACTTACATGGACCCAGGGTGAGCAGCGAAACAAGTGAGTTACCCTCTGTAGAATAAGTGAATAAACAAGATATTGCAGAGAGGGGTTGAACTAATCTGGTGCGGGCAATTGTTTGGGGTGCCAAGTGCAACACACCAGCAGTGCCACAACACGTCCGTGGGGGTGCTGGAGAGGCATGCATATGACAGGAAGAACCTTAGAACTATGGCCCATCAGCATTAGAAACCACATCAAAACCTGCCAGAGGAACAGTTCATTTGGAGCCAGAGGCTCTTCCTGTTGAAGGGCAGTTACTGGACTAACCAATGAGTTTCTTCCCAGTACAGTGTAAACAGTTTAGTCAGCTACATAATGCTGCATACGGAATACATAGTGCTCCTCAGTGCACACAGTGTATTTTAACATATTTCTTTTCATATACATTGACACAAAATGGGCATTAAACCAAAACATCATGGAAATTATCTGGCTGGATTATCAAACCTCATTATACAAGGATGGATAACTACAGAGCTATATTAAAAGATGCCAAACCATTGCTTTACATTGTGAGTACAATGTCTTCTCTGTTCCATATTATTACAGCAGCTACAAATGCCTCAATAGAACTAATAATGCAAGCCATTATGAAATGTTTTAGCCTTATTTGGAAAAGATGTACAGGCTTTTGTTGTTGTTAAATGACCTCCCCCCAGATACACATACACACACACACAAGATCATCAGACTAAATCTGATTCTGCTTTGACTTCCACTGGTATAAATTAGGAACGATTCTAGTAAAATCAATGGAGTTACCCCAATGGGAAAGTAGAATCAAGATCTTTACATTTTTCAGATGCCTCTCAGGTAATTCTCATTGACAGCTCTTAACCATAAGAGATTACTGAGATTACTCTTTTATCCAATGGTGAGAGTAAACAATTAATGCAAATGTTCAATGTCTGCAAAGACAGTTTTATATTATTGCTCTTTTTATACAGTCAAGTTATTTTTGTCTTAGTAAGTAGGCATTTAAGTGAGAATGCCATCAAGCTGTAGATCAAACTACTCTCTTCATGCCAACAGTCAGCTTAACATACCTTTTTTATTTATGCATTGTTTTCCCTTTTGTTCACCACTAGGAAAGTATTTGGAGTGGATAAGATCTTCATGCATCATTTCTTACAGGGGAAAGTCAAATCACCTTTTATATCTTTGTTTGACCTTTACCTTCACTTTTTATAGGCCCACACTGAAATTATTTCCTACCTTGTGTAAGTAATTGTAGATTTCGGACTTCTTCTCTCACTTTCAGCTGAAGCACCTGCTGCAAAATGTGCTGTCGTAGGCTCTCCTGGGCAATCCCCATTCGTTCAAGCTTCTTGTCAGTAAGCCTCAGCAATGCACGGCCTGGATCCAAAAGTAAAAAGGAGAAAGTCACCCAAGGATTTCCATTGATGTAATAACCTCATTCTAGCAAATAAACCTCATTCTGCTGCATTAAAATCCTCAGCTGTAAAACAATCTGATTCATAATATAGTAGACCTAAAATGCAAAAGGGATACCTGACTTGGTGAGTTAATTACTTTCCACTCCAGAGATCCAGGTTCAGAATCTTAGCTTTACATCAGTGAAAATGAGTTTGGCAAGTTCTATCGGTCTTATACATGTTGAGATAACATAGTTTGTAGCAGGCTCAGACTGGCCTATAGGATGACAGCAAAATTTCCCTGGATACTTCTGAACAGCCTCACCATCCCCTGCCCTCCCAAGATCCCTTTGAACAGCAACAGACTGAATACAGATGTAACTGAATTATGGATCTGAATCCTGGGCTGGCAGGATGCTTCACATTGGCATTTAGCATGCCAGTGTATTATGACATCATGGTCTGAGATAGCCCATAATGCAGAGCATGCTAAATTCATACACATAAGACTGTTAGCACTTCCAGACAGGGACTGAATCGTTAGGTGCAATTACAGTGCCTAGCACAATGGGATTCTGATCTGGTCTTTTGGACTCCACTGTAATATAAATGTTAAATTAAGAGACAGCAAATAGCAGGACGGCAGAACATGGTGGTAGGACAAGCACTAAGGCACCCAGGTCCACCAGAGAATCACAGCATGAAGCAACGACAGCGGTGCTTCCAACCCCTTTATCTTAGGGGAGGAAAAACTTTCCCGATTCTTTTAGCCCCTGAAGTATTAGTGCTGGTGGTTAGGCCCAGCCATGAGCCCCACAGCCCACTGAAGCCCATCTTCTCTCCTTTCCAAAGGGGTCCTTGCCTCTCCAGTCCAATGCTAGTAGTCACGCTGGGGCTAGACTGATTTACATTGCCTGAAAATCTGGCACATGATTTTTGTTCAAAGCAAACTCAGCCCTTTGCTTCTCTCTATGTTCAGCTTCATTTGCTTACTAGTTTGTCTTTTAATTATTAAATCTGCATCTTTGGGTTCCACTTGTCATATATCAGTATAAGCATCATCGACAGAGGAATATATATATCTTTCTCAGGTAAAGAATGACAATAATTCATGCATTTTGTCCCAGTTTTGTGGTGGCACTCCTTAGCACTAAGGATGATAACCCCTTGTCCAGCAAGCCTTTCTGTGAAATCATAAACCAGAGGAAGTCTATTGGTTAATGTAATACCAAAATATGGAAATTAGTGTCTTATAGATCAATGCCAGCCTTCAGATTCCCCTAGTGAAAGAGACAGTAATAAGGACTTCAATTGTTATAGCACATTATCATACCAAGACATCTCAAAGCAATTTACAAAAAATGTACAACAGTCTAAGAATGCAGTCTGCAATGCCAATCTAGCAATTGAAAGCAAGCAAAAATTAAAGTCCTCAATGAAAAAAGTGCAAGCATCCCTGTCTCCTTTGGGCAGAGAGTTACAGTACATAATAATGTGTCAGGACATAAGGAGGCCATGTGGCTCCTCCAGCTCTGTCCACCTATCTGGCTAACAGTTATAGCTTTTAATATCTTTCTTCTGGACATTTATTTATTTCTCATTTGATAGGGTGGATACAAATCAATGATTTTTTTAAAAAAAATAAAGTCAGATTTTTAAAATTTAAATCTGATTTTTTTTGATAAAATGCTTTTTGAGGAAAAAACCTATTAAAAGATAGTTTTAATTAAGATACATTATAGCTCAAAGATATCTCTTCATGGAATAGGGATTATAAATTCTAATTCTATAGTATGAAGAAATATATTCATGTAATGTTTAAGAAAAGTTTTGTAAATGAGCTCCAATAGTTCATGGATTAGGAACCAATTTTATGGGGTTCCAGGGGCTTCTGTGTAGATTATTTAGGTTAATCTTTCTAGCTACACAATCGGACTCAGTGCTCAGTCTAGAAGACACCATCAGAGATGCTTAGTTTTGCAGTTCTCAAACTGTGGATTTGTGTCTCCAGAGACAAATTGCTTGCTAACAGCAAAAATGTTTTTAAATAAAATAAAATAAAATAAAATAAATAGAAGTGAGAAACAACAGATCTGAACCCTATTGTCCCTCTGCAAATTTGTGTACACAGAGTGAACCTCTTACCTCTCTCTAAAAGTGCAAAGTTTCAAAAAGCTCAATGAATAGAAGATTGTTGGGGGCAGAATAGATCTGGACAAGGAGAAGTCTGGAGATAAATGTGAGAAGGGCGGGACAGACAGTAGAAACAAAAGTGAAACTGTTTGAGCAGCATATTCCAGAAGTCTTGAGATCTTTCCAAGTGTAGCCTTCACTGATTTGAGATCTACCAGACCATTCTCTCAGTAGAAGGGAAAACCTATAATGGCAGCAGGCCGTAAATGAGACTCAGTTTGGGAATATTTTAATGATGTTCTTCTACCTGTGGGTAAGACAGGCATGCATGCAAAATGCAAAAGAAATGCAAGGCCTGGTTGCCCGAATGAAACAACATCATGAGAAGTGTTCCTTCTCAGGAGGAAGCTGCGCTGAAGATGATGAAAGGAACATGTCTGCACATGCAGGATCTTCAGGTTGGTAAACATTTTTATTTCATACTTCTTTCTTAAGGACTGCCTGTCTTCCTTCTGGACTGTTTTTGAATTCTCATGTTTGAGCAAAAAATATAGTTGTTACTCTATGGTACTATCATTTTAGATGCAGTTCTGATAAAAAATAAATAGCTGAAATAGGCAGATCTTCCCTTTACAATTTCACCTTTAAAGTAGTACCGGGTGTCAGTGAATGCAGTGAGTAATACTAAATGAGCAGTATGGTAATAATAATTAAATAACTGCATTGACTTATTTTGTTTAGGAGAATCCATCCTCAACATACAGGACTTTGAATACTATCCACCTTCAAGATCACCATCATTTTCTATAGTTTCAGAGTTATCTGCCAATGATCGTGTTTCAGTCACATAGCCACAGAATATCACCTACAGTAAAAGAAAAAAAAAATCTCCATCATCCAGGAAAAAAACGAAGATAAATTTGTGATAAGAACCAGCAGATTACAAAAAGAGGTAATTGATTAAAAAATTGCCCGGTTTGTTTATGTAACAAACTCTCCTTTCTGTATGATTGAGAACCCACACTTCATTAACATGGTTCAGTCATTAAGACCAGGATACAGTCCACCGAACAGAGCAGATGTCGCAGGCAAATTGCTGGATAAAATGTATGAAAGAGAAATTGAGCAGTGTACAAAAGGTCTAGAGGGTGAGATTGTTAACCTGAGCCTTGATGGGTGCAGCAATGTCCGCAATGATCCTGTTGTATGTGTTTGTGTGACAACAGAAGAAGGGAATGTCTTCCTTACAGAAACAATTGATACATCAGGAAATGCACACACAGCAGAATACTTACAAGAAGTAGCAGTAAAAGCTATAACAAACTGTGAAAAAAAATTCGAATGTCTAGTACGCAGCTTGGCCACAGACAATGCTGCAAATGTATCCAAGATGAGAAGAAGTTACATATTTAGAAGAGCGTGAAGAAAGTCCCAAGCTAACAACATACGGTTGTAGTGCTCATTTGATGCACCTCCTAGCCAAAGGATTCAGTGTTCCAGAAATAAAGGCTAATGTTGTTGAAATTGCAAAATACTTCTGTAACAACCACTTTGCAGGAGCTGCTCTGAAAAAAGTGGGAGGAACCAAGCTAACTCTCCCACAAGACATGCGATGGAACTCAGTAGTGGACTGTTTTGAGCACTGTATCAAGAACTGGCCTAATCTGATGACAGTTTGTGAACAAAATAGTGAAAAAATAGATGGCACTGTCACAGCCAAAGTTCTCAACACTGGGCTTAAGAGAAAGGCTGAACACATGCTGAGTACCCTGAAGCCTATTTCCGTAGCCTTGAACAAAATGCAGGGAAATAGCTGTTTATTGCTGACGCTGTTGAAATTTGGAAGGAACTGAGTAAGATCTTAAAAAGAGAAATATGCAATGACAGAGTTAAATTACAAGCATTAAAAAAAAATGAATGGGACAAGCACTTTCTCCAGATCATTTTCTTGCAAATATTCTCAATACTCAGTACCAGGGTCAAACCTTAACTGCTGAAGAAGAGGAGTTGGCTATGACATGGACAACCAGCAATCATCCCTCCATAATGCCAACTATAATAAACTTCAGAGCTAAGGGTGAACCATTCGAGAAATATATGTTTGCTGATGATGTTTTAAAGAAAAAGTCACACCAATGAACTGGTGGAAGTCACTTAAGTACTTGGATTCAGAGACTGTTGAAGTGATAATCTCACTTTTAACAGCAGTAGCTTCTTCTGCCGGTGTAGAAAGAATATTTTCTTCCTGTGGACTAATTCATTCCAAATTGAGAAATCGTTTGGGACTGAAAAAGCAGGAAAGCTTCTTTTTCTTTTCCAGATTATGAACAAACAGGAAAATGAAAGTGAAGATGACTGAGTTAGCTGCAGAAGCCAATATTTTAAGTTTTTCATGTTGACCTGGCTGACATAGTCGATTTAATTTTTTTTTAAAAAAAGTTCATTTAAGTATTTTAGTTAAAAACAATTTTAACAAAAACAAACCTGATTTTTAAAAACTTGAATGTTTAACTAAATTCAAAAATTCATATGTTTGTTTTGTTAAAATACTATATGTTTGCTGTTGAAGAAAAAAATCCAGAATACAGAACGTTGTTGTTTTAGTTAAATAAAACAATTTATTGGTGATGTTCTCCTCCTAATACAGCATGGCAAGAAAATCCTCCAAATATTAATGATTAACCTGTTGAACTGGAGATAGTTCACCTCCCACTGACTTCATAAATATTTGCTTCAATTACCTTTGGTAAATGAAATAACCACACAATCATTCATTTTCTGATCTAGCTGTAAAACTAATCTGAAAAGTTTTCAAAATAAATCACTTTAAAAATGGATAGTGTGTAC